TGCTATAACATTTTATCATCTCAGTGAATGATACAGAGCTGAGCAGATTTCAAGTGCATTGTAGAATCAAAGAAAGAGCATCAGCTGAACCATAACCACAGTGTCTTAAGCACATATGCTTGACAATACACGTAACACATTACTGAGTCACACAGAATGGCTAAACAAATATTTTTGCTCCAAATTTTAAATTTGTTTACATTAGCATTTGACAGCAATTTCGCTTCTTCACCTATAAATTCTGTTCCCCTGTTGGTTTTGTGGAACCTCTATACAGCAGAAAGGAAAACTGGATTCTAAGTCATACTCTTGTATCTGAAAACTTTTTTTTTTTTTTTTTTTTCCTCTGTAAGGAGCTTTTGATGATGACTATGATTATTTACGTATCACATAAAGTATTACTTCATCTAGTAACTGTATATGCACATATGCAATACTACCATGCATCGTGTCTGGCTTTGTCTTATTCTCATTCTACTAAAATATCCTCCTCTTTTCATATTCAAAATCTCATATAAACATTTATTTACTCATCTTGAATGCTTACCTATGTGATCAGTCAGCATTGCCCCTTCTTTGTGCTTCCATAGGAAAATGATCTCTACTATTGGTACCTATTAAATGTCAGCTTCCTTCAGGAAAGCTTTTAATTACAGAAAAGCAATCAAGTACCAATTAACCAACTTTACAGTTACCTGGAAGAAAAACAGGAATGATGTCCAGTTCTTGAAGTAATTATCTGGCTCTAACAGGCAGGACTTAAACTGAAGCTTGCCTTGGGCTTTACTAACACAGCAAGTAGTACAGTGGAAAAAAAACACCAAAACAACAGATGCATGCTGTCAGAAGAAAGAAGCTGAATTTACAGTGGTAGGAAAAGATCATTGAGGATCTTCCTATCTCAACTAAACTAGTTTTTTTTCATGTTACCTCAGCTGCACTGAGTGCCACAATTTGGTGATGATGCTCACATAAGCCTTGAACTTTTAATTCAATTCTTCTTCTTATATGGAGCTTTGCTGAATTCATGGAAGTAAGGATCTGTTTACATGAATCAAAATACAGAATCCCTGCCATCACTAAGGAAACTGAGGTCTAAAATTTTAAACTGAAGCAAACAGGAAAAAAAATTCCCTTCAAGTCATCAACATCAGATGGAAAAACAGGAAGAACAGTTAGACAAGGACAGTCTTTATGTGTGTATAATACTGAGGATGGTGAAGCATTGATCTCTAACTGATGCCTGTTGCAGTGACTCAAATAGTATCGATAAATAGCTGTCACTGACCTTTTTTTTTTTTTTCAGTGGAGGAGCCAAGGTCACAAAGCTCTATGATGCAGCTGCCTCCATGCACAGGAATAGTTGTGAGATTTTGATTTTTTTATTATTGTAACTAAAAGTATGCTATTTTGTAATAGCATGATATACTTACTGTAATATTGTACTTAAAAGTTTTAAAGACATGTAAAAAAATAACATCATGATCTTGCATACATGAATACAGGATTTGATAGAAGGATGAAATTCCCGATTATGGAAGCTGGCTAAAACATAATAAAGCTGTAGGGTCCGTCACTATTATCAGGATTCTTTGTCAATCTGAGTTGAAAAGGACTCATGTACTCTAAATGTGTGGACATTTGTGGACAAAATTTGTAGTTTTTCATCTGTAATTTCAGTTTTTTATAACTTCATATTATGCCACATGCAATCACATTTCTTTCTCGCAGGAAAGTAAATGAATACTGGTATTCCCCTAAAATAAAGGACTGTGTAGCTGATAAGTAAAATCCTTTGGGTGCTCCATTTGCTGGACTCCATGAAGGTACAAGAAGAATTAAAACAAACTTACAGATCTACGCAGTATTTGCCAGGACAGTATAGTAACAAGTATCAGTTGTCTGGCAAGGCATAATCTCCAGAGGGACCTGGACAGGCTTGCGAGCTGGACCCATACCAACCTCATGAAGTTCAACAAGGCCAAGAGCAAGGTCCTGCATCTGGGTCAGGGCAAACTCAAGCACAGATACAGGCTGAGCGGAGAATGGCTTGAAAGCAGCTATGAGAAGGATTTGGGAGTGCTGGTTGATGAAAGATTCAACGTGAACAAGCAATACATGCTTGCAGCCCAGAAAGCCAACCTTATGCAAATGGGTTGCATCAAAAGAAGTGTGACCAGCAGGTCAAGGGAGGTGATTCTGCCCCTCTACTCTGCTCTTGTGAGACCCCATCTGGAGTACTGTGTCCAGTTTTGGAGCCTTCAGAAAAAGGGCTCCACAGAAAAGCTGGGGAGGAACTTTTCATAAGGGCAGGTAGTGGCAAAACAACAAGAAATGGTCTTAAATTGGAAAAGGGTAGATTTAGAGTAGATATCAGGAAATTCTTTACTGTGAGCATGGTGAGACACTGGAACAGATTGCTCAGCGAGGCTGTGAATGCCCCTTTAAACTGGAATACAGAACTTTTAAATTGAGAATAATTTAAGACATCATTTAAATACTCGTGGAAATATGAATGGGAAAAGATGAAGACTAAAGTATGAAATCAGAAACTCAACAAATTCAGAATCATCTTTCTTTTTTCCTTTTCCCCATTCACAAGAGTCAGAAAACAGGTAAAAAGAAAATCACTGGTTACAACATTATCCAGGTTTCATTTGATGCTCTATAGTTATAAAGACAAATAGTGATTAGTCTGTCAAAAAAAGCTGAAGTAGGAAAAAAAACCAGCATAGAACAGACTGTAAAATGGCTCCACTACCCAAAAATTGTTAGGTAGCTTTTTTTTTTATTGCCAATTACCCAAATTACATGCAGGATGCTCACAGCACTGTATATTTAAAACCAATCCTGTATCAAAGATTTGAATCTTTTGCTCCTTCAAAATGAAAATCCAAGGATTTTGTTTGGGTATGTGTGTGGGTGTTAAGCTGATTTCAGTAAGAGATGTTTTGGTCTGATATAATTATAGAAACAGGATATAAGAAAATGAATGTTATTACATGGATCTTATTTTTAATGTGGATAGGCACCCCCCCTTTTATAACGTTACAGCCCAAAGGTTTTCCATTTTTGTTTCTAAGGTTCTATGAAGAAAAGGGCAGTATCCATTCAAAGACATGTAAACTATCCAAAAGCATCACATCAAATGCTAAAAAGTTAGGCTGCTGCTCCTGGTGTTATTGGTCAGCTGCAATATTAGTCTCAGGAATTCAGTCCCCCAAAAATGCAGTCCTCCAGTGCTACAAAAGAATTAAAAGATGACTTTTAGCTGCAGTGGAATGGTAATAATGATTTGCAGAATGGAATCTCAAGTTCCACTTCTTGGATAAGTTTTGCCTCAGAACAACTTCAAAATTGCTTGACATGAGCAAATAAAGGTAAACATGAAATACTTTTCACTGAAGTTGACGATGCTTGGAAATAAATCATTCCTGATATACAAAAGCAGGGAAAGATGAAAAAATTCCAATCCAATAACAAGAAGCTCACTCAGAGAAGTTTTCAATACTCATACCAGTTGCTTAGACAATATTTACAAAGTTCATGACAGTTAATTCTGTTCTGAAAACAACTGGAGACCTTTTCTGAAAAGGCTGTCTAAATATTTAAAGCTGGATATGTTTCATAAGAGGCAAACTATACTAAAGAAAAATGAGAGTCTTTGAACATACCATATACATCTTTTATATATAGAAGCCCAAGATTTGCATATTTAGGTTTAGAATAGGTTTCTCTGCCTTCTGTCTTCTGGAGTTTGAACTAATGAGCTTTATTTAATTTGGCTTGAGTGAGGAGTTAGAGGCTTATCGAGAATGCAAAGATATTTCAATAGGCTTGCCAGAGTACCAGAGACCAAGTTTCAGTGTGTTTAAAACCAGATTGAATATATAATCAATACAACAAATAATTCTGTGAGAAAATTTAGAAGCAAATGTAATTACAGAAGAGACACCTGGAATGATCCACAACCAAGACTCAATAGTGCATATTCATATCAATATGATTCAACATGAGTATCATAGGGCAATAGCTTTTTCCAGAAAGTGCTCAAGACCAACACAGTCAGGCCTACTTTTTCCTTCAGAAAGAACCTGATTCTACATAGTGCTAAAAATTAGATTACCACTTTAAGAATAAAAAGGAATACAGTAATAATAATGAAGATATTACAGATTTGGTTAATAAATGATGCAAGAAGTCTTAATGGCTACAAAGCCTTGCAGGACAATACCTGCTTCTACAGGGAAATAATATTGAAAAAAAAGGTAAGAAATTAAACAGTTATTAATTATTCTGTGATCACCAGAACAAAAGAAGCTTGATTCCCTGTGTGCATTGGTAGGTGCTCCTAGCTCAGTGCCTTAGTCTCTTACTTATATCTTACATCATATCACTGCTCACAACAGCTTCTATAGCCTCTAGTGATTTGCTTTGCTTCTGTTCTGGATGCCTCCAGTACCTCTTTGAACCCTCCCACAATAATTTCTGCTCTTTTCTGCTCTCATGCACCTCTGTCATGGTACTATTGGCTTTTCCTTATCTTGTTCCTCTACTTCCAGAGTATCTCAGCTTCCTCAAACAGTTCTCTCATGATAATGCTGTCAGCTTTACTCTACATCTATTACTTATCTACTATCATGTGATCTGATATTTCCAAAGGATACATTGCATTTTTTGTGATACTCACTACCAGCAGAATTGATAAAGTATTCTTTCAAAGCTGTGATTTTTTTCAAAATTAACAACAAATATTTCTTTACAGAACCGAGGATCTGCTAAACAGATGACATGGAGAGGAAGAAGCTCAGAAGAGACGTATGAATAAGCAAAATATAGATCAGTTTCAGACACCCATAAAAAGACAAAAATGATAAAAAAAGATGCATATCATTTAAATACACAGCTCCATGTATACAAAAATACTTCTACATTTGGAAAAAAAGAAATTAAATATAGCCACAGAAAATTTAAAATTTCTCACCCTGATGTATTTTCAGGAGAAAACACTTTTCCACAAGATGCCTCAAAGTCATTCAGTCACAGAATTCCACCAACGTACCACACACAATCAATAGTTGCCCAAGTAAAATAGGTAAGTGAATATACAAAAAAGAACTATTAATGGATGTCTACCAATGCACTGCCTTCTAATATGATGATGTCACAGACAGCCACAAAACAGTCAGTTAAAAATACACAGATTTAAAATGTATTCTTGTCCAAAAGACAGCAGCTAAGAAAATACTTTTTAAGGTAGGTTCAAAAGATAAAATCCCAGATACAGTGGAGTTGGTGGCAAGCAAAAAAGCAAGGATTGCCCATTTGTTTTAAAGTCTTTGTAGCAGCAGAAGCATCATTAACATTAAATCTAATCTTCTGCATAACACAGGCCTGAAACTTAAACATACAGAACACCTTAAAAACATAGAGAGAGACAAAATGCTTCCCTCAAATAGCTTCTAGCCCTATTAATGATAAAATAGCAAATAAAAGAAAGAAAGAAAGAACAGGGGAAATAAACAGAACAAATCTGCTGTAATTTTAGTTGTGACAGCATGCACACCTTCAGATTTGCATCCTTTAAAGGAATTTTTAAAAATAAACAGTCAAGTAAGTCCACAAATACACAAGTGATATATTTATCAAAAAATACTTCCTTAGGAATTCTGAGAGATTATAGAAACATTGGATATTCAAAAAATTGAATATCCAATACAAATTGGATATTCAAATCCTCCTGTCACTGTAGGTTTCACTGTTGATGCAGGCTACATGATGTGGAAATGAAGAACTGTAAAGGCAGTTAGAGAAAAGAAGAGTGTGTAAGAGCTCCCAGCTTCCACAGTCAGTTCTGCCATTGCTGTTTTGCTTTTTTTTTTGTGGACTTCCACACATGGTCTCAACTTTTTAAATATTAGAGAGTCTATTATCATCTGAATTTTTGCCTTTGATATATGGAAATCAAAATGAAATTCTGTAGTTGGAAGAACAAGAGCAAGATATATACAGGAAAAACTTCCATCTTTTCCTTTTTTTTCCAAGTGCTTCACCGTAAGTGCAGATCCACAGTCAAAACCAAAAAACAGAATATGGAGACCAAAGACACACACTGAGGACTGTCATTGAGGCTTCATAGTTGTGACCATCAATAACTATCTGTCTTTGACAAATCCTAAAGTCATGTACTCAACCTGACAGTTGAGAGCAGGATTTGTGTTAAGAATATTATTCATTAATATATATCACAATGATAAATGCAAAATATTCGCTCTCCCACCAGAAGTGTGTAAATTTATGGAAAATAGATTACAGTGGCTGAAGCGTGTAGTGAAAAAAATGTGATAGAATGTGGATACAAACAACTGTATTTAGAACAAAATGCAATACGTAGTACTTTCATATAATGCATGACACATGATACACTGGGTTATTCTTAGTAATAATCAGTGAGAAAAAACATTCATTATTTCTCTCTTTTGTAGATACTTGGAAGCATTTTTAAGAGTAAACTACTGAATCTTCTCTTCTGATGTTGAAATTCTTCTGGTTTTGGGGTTTGTTTTTTTTTTTTTTTTTTTCAGCGTAACATCTTTTTGTTTGTTTAATTATTTTTTAATTAAACTAATAAATGTGATCTTCATAACTTGGAATGAACCACCATATTTTTCAGTAGGGCCAATGGTATTTTGTTTATGAGCACCACAGTTTATTGCCAAAAGCCACTTGAGGCTAAATTCAGAACTTTTGAAATGCTGTGGACAATTCATTAAGTATGTAGGCAAAGATATTTTCCTACACATCAAGTAAATTGGAGTTTTCATTAGGGAGACAGCTACACATTTTAAAATTTTATGTCTAAAAGTTCTTATCTACACTCTTCTTCGTCACTACCAAGCAAGATGTGCTGCTGAGTTAGGTAGTATTATTCCTTTGTGCAAGCAAAAAGCACCAGTAAATTTCAGAGTTATGCGATTCAATGAAAGCAAAGACACATATTACACACGTTACATAGTAATTACTCAGAGACCAGCTAAGAAAAAAAGCATCACTGTAAAACTAGAAGATTGTTTCATTGTAAAACTAAAGGATTACCTTGAACAGATAGGATGGTTGGATACAAATTTTTCTTAATGCACAAGCATTTCCTCTTTATTTATTTAAAAGTTTATTTTATTATCCGGTATCATCTCAACACTAGGAAGCTCAGGCTTAAGGACTTCATGTCAGCATCCTGATGAACTTCTGGTCATGTTTGTTCTAAAATTTTTGAAACAAACCCCAGGGGGTCTCACATGATTTATTCAAGGCAAATGCTGCTGTCTCAGACAGAAAAATGATTGCAAGTGTTTTGATAAAGAAATTATAAAGTGCTTAAGCAGGCATTTTAAACTGCTTCTTACAAAGAAACTGTTCTGAACAAAAAGCAAATCAATACAACATCAGTTCATGATGGTACAACAGGTGGAATGTCTATCTGTCACAAGAAATACATTAAAAAAGTCATCAAGGTGCATAAAGAACAGTCTTGCAGGTTCTGTTTCACTGCCTCCTCTGAAGTCTAGGTATATCGCCATAGGACAGTCAGATTCTTACTGGCCTACTCTCTATATTAACCTAGTTTGGCCAACAAATCTAATTACAGGTAAGAGTACTCCTACTTTTAAAAGGCCCTTTTATATATATATAGTTCTCATTTATAATATCTGTAAGAAAAATGACACAGCAGAATGTGGGTTCTTTGGAGATAACATGCCTGGTGGCTTTTCTTTCATATCCATAAATATTCACTGAAGGTGATCATTTCTCGTTGAAGACAGAAACAGAACTTCTACTCATTTCAGGCTCTGAGCCTCAGTGCAAGAACCATATGAGCTACTATCTTCTGAGCATGGAAACCTCAAGGAAACCCAAAGGATTCTTAAGAAAACTCAGGACCGAAGTACACAGACTGGAGCCTTCAGAAGTAGTTCAGAAAATTAAAATCAGAACATCATCTCTTTGAGACTATAACATTTTAATCCATTTTCTCATCTCAGAGTGAAACAAAAGCTGAAATTCTTGTTTATTGTGCTGAACAAAATATTTAGAAAAAAATCCAGTGCAGAAATAAGGCAATACTTAATTTCAGCTTTTTCACAACTGAAACACTTTCATATGGCCAAACTGAAGTGGTGTATTTAATATTCAGACCACATGTCTTTAATGAAGCACCACCCATTGCATTTGAAAAGAGTCCCAACTCCATAAGAGAGAGCATGGCTATGAGACATATAGCAAAACAGCTGCAGAGGGATACACGTTTCAGTATATACTGACTTAAAATGAAACATTTCAGATTAGTTCAGCAAACCAGAATATTTTGTTTCATATTCAGCCAACTGGAAAGTATCTATTTCTTTTTTTGGTTTTCCTATGAGAAAGCAGAAAGAATCTACATAAAAGATTTTTCCTATGGAAAAATAAAAAATAGATATTGCAACAGTACAATTTCCATAAGGAGGAAAAGAGAAGCCAAAACATTTAGACAGAAAATCCTCAGATCTCTCAAAGGTATCTGAAGGTATTTAAAAATTCATTTGAGCTGCACAGAACAGATCCAGCAGGACTCCAGAAACTTAGTCAATCTTTTTTATACAATAGGTTCCTAAGGAGATTTTCTGAACCAAAATTTGGTAACAGCACTCAAAAACGAGTTGCTTTTTGGCTACTGCTCAGATGCTTTCCTCAGGCTAACAAAGATTCAAAGCTGCTTTTTCTCATTGCTTTGTGTGTGTGTGTGTGCCAGATGATCAGTCACTGACTTGAACTTTCTGTGGTCTGAGATCTTATGACATTTTTTCCAGGTAATTAATAGACAATATAGCAAAAGTTATATTTCCATTATCATTGCTTTAATTAGTTTATGTGAACAAGAAAAGAGTTTGTATTCCAAGAATTGTAAATCAGCTGGTAACAACTAGCTTTAAATATATTTATAAATAATCTAAAAGGTCAGAAAAGATTATAGAATAGACATGCTTTTTATTTATGCTCCATATCTTGTTGAAACAGGAAAATTAATCCCTTGGTCTTTGCATCTCCTCAAAGCAGATAAGGAATCTTTTCTACAGTAGCATCATATTGGCTGCATCATTTTGCCTCCTAAACACAATCAGTATCTAAGCATGTTTTTTTCTTAGCCAAACTCTCCTTCCCATACCTCTACCTGACAAATGCCAAACATGAATTCAGCTGCATTCAGAAGAATGAGGAAAGAAGTAAACAAAATCAAAACAACCAGAGAGCTTTGTAGTCGCCAAAAGCAGCAAATACACACCTGCCACATGGTCAGGGCTTTCTTTAGCACGAAGTGTCATATGTGAATAATGTCTGAACATTTGTGTGAGAGATTGCTGTTTAACAGGAAAGTAGGTGTGTGTCTTTCAAGTGAAGCCTGCAGAAGCTGGATTTCAGAAAAAAAGTCAAATGCATGTGCCTATATTAATGCCTAAATGTAGAAAAGTGGAGTAGCAAATTAAATAATGAAGGATAAATCAAACATCCACGTGTTTCTTTTTTTTTTCAGATGCTCATTTGCCATTTACCCTCAGCTGTTTCTGAAGAGTATGAAAGCTGATTACTCAAATAAGTTTATGCCAGTGATTGATCATTTCCACTAATGACCACAACTCTTCTTCTATGGGGAATAGAAAAAGTAGTACAACAAAACCAAATCAAAAGTCAGAAGTTTTTGGTAATATCTCTGCTAAGTATTATTCACCAATCTTGAACTGGAATGCGGATGCAAAAAAATCCTTATTTACTCAGGATTCACTTAGTAACATTTCAGAATGCTACTGGGAAAAGTGCAGCAGGATTCTGTTTACTGTTTTTTACAGTATAAATAATTCAGAGAGTAACAGTACTTTTAATAAACCTAGCTATGCCACTGAAGTCTAAGAATACTATGCCACAGCTTAGAACTAAGCAAAAAAAAAAAAAAGCAGAAAATCATTTGTCAACAGTGCAGTAATCTTGCTATTACGTGCTAGGTAGGTTTTGTATTTGGTTCAAATTGCTTTGTTCTTTGGAAAATGCTACTGGATAAAATATATTTGGCCAGTAAAGGAACTAGAGAAATTATTGTTGTGGGAAGGAAATAACTGGATCAGTCTACCTATAATAAAATTAATCTGAAACTCAACCCAACAAAAAGCAAATCTAGTATTTTAAATGTTTAAAAGTTTCTGTGAGGTTATTTCTCAACGCTTCTATTTCAGCCAGAACTGAAATCGGAAATGCCAAAGTACTGTGAGAAGGGCTGTTCTGCATTACAGCTGACCCAAATGAAACAAGGAAGTACTGCAGAAGCACAGGACAGTCTATTTGAAGGAGGCTGCCATCCAGTTTCCAGACTACAGAAGTTTGGATGAGGTCGGATAAACTCTGGAAACTGTTAAACTTCTGATGTATATCTGAACTGAACCACCAGATCTTTGTGACTCATGCTTTACTGATGCCCATTTTTTGTGGAGATGAGTAGAAATAAAATAGTTTTACTTTGGGAAAGAATGTAGGAAACGTTGCACAAACCAGAAGATTGCTTGCGTTATCCTGAAGATTAGAAATGGATTATAATCTGTAATTCTGATGTAAAGAGTAGCTGGATAGCTGGGCTGAAGCCAACGGGATGAGTTTCAACAAGGCCAAATGCTGGGTCCTACACTTTGGCCACAACAACCCCAGGCAATGCTACAGGCTTGGGGCAGAGCGTCTGGAAGCCTACATAGAGGAAATGGACCTGGGGGTATTGATTGACACTCAGCTGAACATGAGCCAGCAGTGTGCCCAGGTGGCCAAGAGGCTTGCATCAGAAACAGTGTTGCCAGCAGGAACAGGGAAATGATTGCCCCCCTGTACTCAGCACTGGTGAGGCCACACCTTGTGTACTGTGTTCAGTTTTGGGCACCTCACTGCAAAACATTGAAGCCCTTGAGCAGGTTCAAAGAAGGGCAACAAAGCTCATGAGGAGTCTGGAGCACAGGGCTTATGAGTAGTGGCTAAGGGAGCTGGGATTGTTCCATCTGGAGAAGAGGGGGCTCAGGGGAGACCTTATCGCTCTCTGAAACTACATGAAAGGGAGGCTGTAGCGATAGAACTAGAGGAAATGGCTTCAAGCTGCACCAGGGAAGATTTAGGCTGGATGTTAGGAAATACTACTTTTCTGAAAGAGTGGTCAGGTGCTAGAATGGGCTGCCCAGGGAGGTGGTGGAGTCACCAGCCCTGGAGGTGTTCAAGGAACATTTGGATTTTGTGTTGAGGGATATGGTTTAGTGAGAACTATCAATGATGGGTGAATGGTTAGACTCGATGATCTTGTAGGACTTCCCCAAGCTTGGTGTTTCTGTGATTCTGTGAATATGCCCTTGAAGTCAATTGAGATAAACTGGTTCATCTGGAAGGCAACTTCTGTGATATCTGTTAATGACATACAGCTAAATTGGAGACATTCTGGGCCTTACTTATCCATCACCTAAACTGCAATTGCTTCAATGATAGATATTTCATTAGGAATAGAGTTGGTTCACTAATCCTAGTTTGTTTCATTTTTCTCCCCAGTTGATGTTGTTCTGCCACAGTTTATAATGGTGACTGTGTCGGAGCAACATTTATGATCACAGTGGCTTAGTCTCTCACAGCCATATCTGTTGTCTATTTGCAAATCAAAGCTTGACTTGTAAATCCAGAATTACAGAATCACATAAATAGGTACCATATAGTTTTGGGCTTGAAAATGAAAGCTGTGACCTGGCTTTGCTCATTAAAAACAGATGTTTTTCATCTCCTTGAAGTCTTAACACAAGCCAGCACTATGAATAAGGTGCTCTCTCTTGTCAGTAAGCACTTACTTTAGAACTTTATTGTATTTTGATTATTTAAATAATCAAATGCTTACATTGATATTCTTAAGCAAAATCTTAGCCTAATTTTTTCATGTATATAACCTAGAAAATAGATATGGGGAAATGCCTTCATTCTATACTCAGTTTACAAAGCCACAGTGGGTGGGATCTTTCAAGGAACTGGACTGGAGCAACACACAAAACCCAGAAGTCACCCTTGCAATGTTTCAGAGGTGGCAGATCAGATACAAAGTTACCTTAGAGTTTCTGTAGCTCTGGAGCATACCGCTCGAGATCATCACTGGGGTTTGCCACCAGCTGCTATCATGCTCAGTGACCCTAGGAAGTGCTGTCCCACATTTCTGCACGCAATGAGTGGAGGGGTGAAGACATGGCCCAGCTAATCCCCGTTGCTCATGCCAGTGCTGAGAAGGAAGTCTTCACCCAGCAGGCTCATTCAGCTCAGCCAGCAAATCCCGTGTTTGCTGGGGAGTGCGCTCCAGCCAAGCTTGCCACGGCCAGAGCATGGTGCAGAAGGGAAGCTGCTCCAAGCTGAATGGCCTCTTTGTTCTCTGCCACAGCCACTGCACTCGCAACTCCAGCAGATACAACAGGGGCTGTATGAGAGCCGAATGGAAATGAGATGCTGGCTCCCCTGAAAACGTTCTGCTTCTTTCCATTAAAGCTGCAGAGGAATTCTGGCAACTGAAAAACAGTCCTTCCTATCGAGCAATATTTTCCTGTCTGTAACAGCCTAAGAAGCCAAAAGCACAGACTGAAGCTAAAATACAGAGTAGATGAGCATGTATGGGCACTTTATATGTTGGTTGGCTACACTGCAAAACAGAACCACAGCCTGCTGGCAAATTAAAGGCAAAAATCATACAGAGGCTGCAGGCTACCTGCAAATCTTTGAATTCACCCAAGCATGAGCAGAACTGCAAGGCACCCAGGACACATCATTCGCTAAACAATTTAATGTGCTTCTGCCACAAAGTTAAATAGTTTAACCCCTGATCTGTACACCTTTGTCAGCATCATTATGGGTCCAAATGCACATCTGATAATTAAGAAAGCTGTGAAAAAATGATGAGTTTGATTTCTTCCAAGCTGGGGTAAACTGGCAGCAAGCTATGGGATGCCATATTATCTTCTAATAAATGTTACGGGTTTTCCTTTTCATCATCTGCTTAGCTAGAGTTAGTCTATTAATGAAGAACCCTCTACTTTCATAATTCATTTTGGAAAAACAATATTCAGAGCGCTTTTCTCAAAACCCTTTCCTATATAGACCCCATTCATACCTACAGTGACATAAAATGCCAAAATTCATTTGCAAGTGAGACTTCAGGCCAGTAAGTTTAGAGAAAACAACTGTACAGCAGATGAGAAACAGGAATTGTATCACATTAAATATAAAATATGTTCCTATTGGTGGCATAAAATAACTTTGAAAAACAAGTCATGTAATTAAAAGAGCAGTGTTTGTTTGCAGTAGCAGAGTTAC